CGAGACGGGGATGACGAGGTTCCCCTCGGAGCCAGGAAATGACAGCGGTGGTGGCACCTGTGTCCTGCCGGGGGTGCCCGACCCGGGGACTGCAGCCGGGGGGTGACACTCACGATCTTGCCGAAGCAACGCTGCATCTCCACGTAGGACTGGCAGTGGTGGTGGATGTTGGTTTTGCAGTTCTTGCACCTCAGGCCAAATTTGTTGTTGACTGGCAGTCGGGGAGTGGGGGGAGGGTGGAAAGGAGAGGGAATGTGACACTGCAGCTGTGAAACGGCCGGGACAGAGCCCTGGGCAGCCTTGGCCCCCAGCCCTGCCCGTGGTCCCCAGCCCTGCCCGTGGTCCCCAGCCCCCTCAGGACTCACGGACGATCATGCGGGCACAAACGTCACAGAATTTGGGCTTTTTGAAGTAATGATCTTTGAACTTGTGGGGTTTGTCATTAACAAGTTTCTCGGGTTCGGGAGGGGGCTCGGGCTCCTCCTCCTCTTCCTCCTCTTCTTCATCCTCATAGATGTAGTAGATGGGTCCCCCCGAGGGGCTGACCAGCTCCCCATTGGGCTGTGGCTCCGGCGCCGGCTCCTCCTTGGGCTTTCGTTGGAAAAGTTGCTTCAGCTTCTGCAGCTGCTGGGGCAGGAGAGGACGGACGGTGTGTGGTGGTGTGGGGGAGGCAGGAGGGGAGAGACCCCCGGCTCCTCCCCCCAGAGACCCCCCCACAAGCGGGACGAGACTCCAGGAATGCTCTGAAGATGGGGACCCTCCTCCCAGTCCCGGGAAGTCTCCACAAAAGAGGAAACTGTGATTCCTGAGCACCTCATGGATGTGGGGGCGCCAGGGAAATGCCCACCCAACACCCGGCTGGATCAGGGTCCCACCAGGTACCCCAGGCCTCCCAGAGCTTCCTGTGATGATAGAGAGGGGGCTTCCCCCACCCACCCAAACTGCCCTGTGGGCACCCACTTACCCGGCTCTTGCCTTTCCCACCTGAAGCGGGTGAAGCTGGTGACTCCGGCACTTCCTTCTCCGTCATGCTGCGAGGGGAAGAGACACAGATGGCGTTGGCTGGGGCAGTTCCAGCTGCAGGAGCACGGCAGGGGCTGAAGGGGTCAGACGCTGCTGGGTGGGCAGTGCCTCCCCTTCCCCTGCCCGTGCAGCAGCCCCGGTCCTGGCGAGGGCTGGTTCTGCCAGGGGCCGCTCCCACTGCCCGTCCTGCAGCCCCTGCCCCGCCCGGGGCTGCTTCTGCCTCGGAGAGCCCCAGGGCCAGGCTGGAGGAGGTCGGTGCCCAGCCCAGAGCGTGGCACATCCGCTGACCCAGGGATGTGGTGCCAAGTGCTGGGATCCAGCCCCTGGGCTCTCCGCACGTGCCCACCTTAGCCGGGACATCTCCATCTCACCGTCAAACTGCAAACGGTGCCGCTCTCGGCCCCTCAGATGAGCGCACGGGGGACACCGATGGGCATCATCCGGCTTTCGGCTGCCCCGGGGGCAGGACCTGCTCCCGCATCCCCCAAACCATCCCGGTGCCGCCTTTGACAGCCCTCCCCGCAGTGCTTCCACCCAAACCTCACTTTTTTTGGTGATGCCCACGCCCCAAGCCCCTCCAGCCCCCAGGAAAAGCAGCAATGGGAACGGGGAGCGCTGGGGTGAGGAATGCGGGAATGGGGCACCCCGAGGCCCTGCAGCAGCGGGGGTGCCCAGGGTGGGCACGGCCACGCCGAGGAGGGGGCACACGCGGGGCACTCACCCTGTGCTCGGAGCAGTCGCCGTGCGCTGAAGAAGCCCCCGAAGCGCGGCCGGTGCCGGGGCCCCTTTGGCCGCAGAGCCCCCAGCCCTCCGTGGTGGGCGCTCGGGGAGGGCGGCAGCCGCC